TTCATTTCACACCAGAAGATGCTCGAATATGACGTCTACATCCGAAAACCTGCTCAAGGTGCCCCACCTCACATTTCCCTCTGTGATGTAGAAACGTGAATCACAAAAACACTGACACACAGTAAATCAACTGAAAGAACACGACTTTACATGCTGATCTTACATAATAGGGGGAAAAAAAGATTGTTTTAGATATAAGGTAATGTTCTAGCTGCCACCTAGCAACCATTCAGGACACCCTGGCAACCATCCAGAACTATTTCTATTGGGATGTAGTGTGAATTACGCAATAAAGTACTTCTGTTTGTGTGTGTTTGTGTGTGTGGATTTTGGAGAGAGTAACTAGACGCCTATTGTGTGAGAAAGTGACTTTATAGGCGTGAGCAGGTCAGGACTCAAACGCTTCAGATCTGAAGCTAAAGTAAAATTTTTAGCAAATCTTTACACTGTATATATGAGAAAGCATAAAGAATATTCTGAATATTCATCAAACTGAAGCTTAAGAGTTTTAGATGACACCAGAGAGCTCTGCAATACAAAATTAAATCCCTTAAACACCTTTATAAAAGCATAATCTCCACACATTTATCAAAAAAGAGGGGTAAAAAATCAGTTTATCTAAAAAAAAGAGCAGTCTGTGGGATGTTTTTTAGTATCAATGAGATACTACTAAGGTTAACATTTTGAATTATTCTAGTTTTTATTTATTTATTTTTAAGTTTTAAAAAAGTTTTCTATTACTAATATTTTTGTTTTTATTATAATGTTTATATTAGGGCGACACGGTGGCTCAGTGGTTAGCACTGTCACCTCACAGAAAGAAGGTCACTGGTTTGAGTGCTGGCTGGTTCAGTTGGCATTTCTGTGTCGAGTTTGCATGATCTCTACGTGTTCTTGTGGGTTTCCTCCAGGTTCTCTGGTTTCCCCCACAAGTCCAAAAGACATGCGCTAACGGTGAATTAGGTACACTAAATTGTCCTATGTGTATGTGTGTAAATGAGTATGTATGTGAATGAGTATGTATGGGTGTTTCCCAATAATGGGTTGCAGCTGGAAAGGCATCCGCTACGTAAAACATATGCTGGATAAGTTGGTGGTTTATTACGCTGTGGCGACCCCAAATTAATAAAGGAACTAAGCCGAAACGAAAATGAATGAATGGATCAGTTTAATTAATAAAATAATACTGTTGTTATTCATTTTAAAATAATATTTAATTTATAGAAATGAATATATTTTTAATATTTTCAATTTCAAATATTTGTTAATATTTCTGTCCTATTGTTAGTTTATTACATAAAACTAAAATTAAAATAACCAATATAGACTTTTTCATAAGTGTCTCAATTTATATGGAAATGAGAGTTTATATTGTTTTTATTAATTAAAAAAAATTTAATTAATTAATTTATTTATAGTAATAAATGTTTTTGTTATTTTATTAGTTAATTCAATCATTTACCGTTGGCTTAGTCTCTTATTTATCAGGGATCACCACAGCGGAATGAACCGCCAACTATTTCTGCATATGTTTTACGCAGTGGATGCCATTCCAGCTGGAATGCAGTACTGGAAAACACCCATACACTCCCATTCACACATACACTTATACACTACGTCCAGTTCAGTTTATCCAATTCACCTATAGTGCACTGTCTTTGGACTATGGGGGAAACCAAAGCACCAGGAGGAAATGCATGCCACAGTGCGACAGTGCTAACAACTGAGCCAACGTGTTCCCACTTTATTAGTTAACTAAAGTTAAAATTCAATACTTAATTTGTACTTTATATGAAAATGAGAATCCATAAATGTTTTTAATTATTATTTTTTTTCATCATTTCATTTTACTTTTAATAATATATCGATACTATTTGATACTTAATACTGTAGATGTGTGGTTTATCATTTTAATTTAACTTTTTTTATTTTAGTATTTTATTTTTGTATACAAAGTATACAAACTAAGCTATTTTCATAATTTCCGAGTCTTCACATTAATACAAAAAACACTGTTCAATTATATTATTTTAGTATCAGATAGTTTTATTAACACTTTAAGGTTTTATTTTTTCCTATTTCCTCTCAGCTAAAGCTCGCTTAAGTATTTTTGTCTATTTTCAATAAGGCATTCATTAATTTTCCTTCAGCTCAGTCTCTATTTCAGAGGTTGCCACAGCATAATGAACCGCCAACTATTCCAGCATATGTTTTATGCTAAAATGCCCATCGAGCCGCAACCCAGTACTGGAAAACACACATATACACTCTTTCACACACACTATGACCATATTAGTTTAATCAATTCACCTATAGCACATGTGGTTGACTGTGGGGGAAACCGCAGCACCCAGAGGAAACCCACATCAACACAGGGAGAACTTCTAGCCAGGACTTGAACTAGCGACCTTTTAACTGTGACAGTGCTAACCACTGAGCCACCGTGGCACCCTAAATAAGTCATTACAGTATTTCTTTATTTCATTTGAGTTTTAGGTATTATTTAAGAAAGTCAAAAATGTTATAGTTATATAAAAGGTTAATTTTTACAGCAGTCTGTTACAAGTCATGAGAAGAAGAGCACATGATAATCACACTGACCACTTATGTGGGAAAGACTAAATCCTTGTTTGGCCAAGAATAAAAAAACAGCAGAAAACTGGATTACCACATACAGCACCAGAAATAGACAAGTAAACGTTTGCAGAAAAGGCTGTGAAATAATATGTTTCTCTCCAAGACTGATGGATATCTACACTGTTTTCAGGTCAGAAGAAGTATGTCAACCATTTAAAGGATTTGTAAATCATTCTTTATTCATTTCAAACCTTGTATTTCTTTCATCTGTTGAACATTAAAAGGAGATATTCTGAAAAATGTTGGAAGCCTGTAACCATCGACATCCATTGTATTTGCTTTTCCTACAATGGAAGTCGATAGTAACAGGATTTCAGCATTATTCAAAATATCTTCGTTTAACAGAAATAAAAAAAGCTTGTGAAGGTTTAATTTTCTTTTTGCCAAATGACTTTCTTTCTTTCTTTATTTATTTATAATTGCAATAACAACACCTAATTACAAGTAAAATACAACAGATAGAAGCATAGTACAAACAATACAGATGTTACTGTTTTGCACCAAGAGAAATTTGACAATTTAAAAAAGGAGTATAACAATGGTAAAGCAAAAGGAAAGACAATGAGAAATAAGAAACAATAAAAAGAATTAAAAAAGAGAGAGGGCACATGAAAAAATAATACAAATGCAGAATATTAAATAAAGCACATGTTGTAAGACTTTTAACTGATTGCTTGTCCTCGTGAAGCTTTATTACCATTTAAAAGTAGGGGCAAATTTAGCGAATTGGGGGCCCTAGGCAACTCCAGCCATGGGGCCCAAGCCCTTATGCACCCTTTCTACTTTTAGTTAATTTATTATTTATTTTTGGTGTTTCTTTATTCACCTTATTTTTCGCCAACGAGCAGGCGCAGCCATTTGAATCTTTTTGGCTCGAGACTTCTGGTCTCATTCACTTCCTTTCATTTTTAGACGTTAAAAACTGCTCGTTTCGCTATTTGATGCTGCAAACTGATATTTCCTTATTATTTTATTCTACTTGGTCTGTATAGTCATGCAGACATTTGTTTGTAGAGCAAGTAGTTTGACCGTTTTCTGTCGTTTATTATTCCTAGTCATTTCTCCCATAAGCGACTGAATCGGAAGTTCTAAGTCAATCACGAAAACAGGCGCACTTCCACATTTTACAATAAGGTCAATCAATATTACTCAATCTTCTATACTATGTTCTATATTAATGCAGTCTTTACATGTTGAATGAATAGTTTTCTTAAAATGAATTCACAATAATAAAAAAAAAGTGTAAATGTATATATATATATTTTTTTAATATATATATAAATTTGACTGCTGGACTGCTCCATGATTGGGGTGGTGGATATTTTATTTTACATTTTTATTACATTACATTACATTATCATAATATTATTCATTCATTCATTTTCTACAGATTTTCTGGGGCTGGGTCGCAGGGGCAGCAGTCTTAGGAGAGAACCCCAGACTTCCCTCTCCTCAGACACTGCCTCCAGCTCCTCCGAGGGGATCCCGAGGCATTCCAAGGCACGCTCCCATAATAAAATTATACTATATTGAATAATATTTATTTATGTAAAAAAAATCTCTCACTATACGAAATATGATTAGATTTATGTTACATATAGTTTATAGGTATTATTTAAACTTCTAGATATCTATTGGGGGGCCCCAGATTTCCTGGGACCCTAAGCGGCTGCTACCTATTGGTTAAATCCGCCACAGCGTGAAAGTGATGTTCATTTTGGGGTGAACTATACCTTTAAGGAGCTTTCCTTTAGTTCCCCACCCTCTAAAATCACATACAGCTGGAATTAAAAACATCTGGAAAATGTGCAGCTTGAACTGTTTCCAATGCAGCAGTACAATAGACTTTAAAAAGTGTAGTTTGACTTAACATGAGTAACGTTAAATGAATGAATACATGCTTTCAAATGCTGCAGATGCTGAATTTTTGGGTAATTTCGCTTATGATAATCTCTATGGAAAGTCATTCAGACACTTTAAGCGTGTCTTACATCTAAATAAATATCCTTATCAATATACAACACACACACACACACACACACACACACACACACACACACACAGTATAACTTTAAGGCGTACACACTAAAACCCACATTTGTAACTCTAAAAGAAGAAAGAGCTGCATGTGGCTTGTGGTTTTCTCAGCAAGAGTTTACACATCAATAACTCAAACACGAGTTTAAAACACACACTGTCCTCTTTATGAACATTAATATACGCAGAAACCGTTATAGTTTCAATAACAATGACGATAACTCGACCTTCACGACGTCAAAACTTGAAATTAACCGCGACGCGTGACAGCCTCCTCAAAGTAAACACGGCACTGAAGCGAAAGTAATGACAAAGTTTGGACTTACTTTAGTAAACGCAGGAATCCAAAATGTTCTTCAAATGTTATATGTATAGAAGTACAGCACGCAAAACCTCCAACAGCCTCAAGAGTCAAACCAACACTGTTTGAAGAAACTCGAACCAGCTTTAATATACACGTGCAACAACGCCCATCCCCTGAAATGACGTGCTGATAGATAGATAGATAGATAGATAGATAGATAGATAGATAGATAGATAGATAGATAGATAGATAGATAGATAGATAGATAGATAGATAGATAGATAGATAGATAGATAGATAGATAGATAGATATTTTATATAAGATTTAACCTGTCACTCATTTAAAAAACGATGATAAATATACTGTGGTTAAAAAGGCTACTTGAATTAATGTTGTGATTAGTTGCTATGGTAATAACACGACTATAGAGCGTAGACGTTATTTCGTAACTGTACAAGAGGCCATTGAATCATATCTTAACGTTTTTACACAGCTGTCATAGCGTTATTTATCAATGTGTGGACATTTTTTGGATTCTTGGAAGCTATGGAAATTATAGATGTAAAATAGGACTACTGTTATTGTTTACATGCCTCAAAATGGTCTATAAACCAATTGCACAATATGTATAGTGCATATTATACTATAATAACCAGTTTACTACAGTAAAAACTCTAAAGTAGCCTATTCTTCAGTATTACAGTCAGTTCTCTAGTGTTAATACTTATTGTTTACATCCCTGAAAATAGTCTAAAATTGCACAACCTGTTCACTGTTGTAAAAACGTTAGTATTCAAGTCAGTTCTCTTTAGTTAATACTACAGCTATTGTTTACATCCCTCAAAATGGTCTATACCAGTGGTTCTCAAACTTTTTAGTACCACCTCAGAAAAAAAAATAGTCTCTCCAAGTACCACCAAAATGAGCAGCATTTAAATACAATAGCGTAGTAGGTTCAGTAAAACAGCTACACCTCTGCACAGTAAAAAAAAAAAAAACGATTACCTCAGAAAAGGCTATATGTCATATATGGCATATTATATACATAATTTTTGATACATTTTTAAATGTGTGTAGCATTTACATTACATATTTCATTCCTCCGTGTACCACTAAGGAAGCCTGCGTACCACTAGTACCACAGTTAGAGAACCGGTCTATACAATTGCACAATACTGTTTATAGCACATATACTACGATAACCACTGTAGTAAAAACTAAAGTATTCTGTAGTATGTACAGTCAGCTCTCTAGAGTTAATACAGTTATTTACATACCTGAAAAGTCTATACCAATTGCACAATACTTTATCAAGCATATTATACTACAATAACCAGTTTACTGTAGTAAAAACTAAAGTATTCATTATGTATTATTATCAGTTCTCTACAGTTAGTACTATTACTAAACAGTATATTATAAATAGTAAAAATATTCGTTTACTATTAAACGATTAAAAAATATTAAATTTAATATAAATTACTGTAGTATTTTTAACATGCGGTGTCACACACTTTATTACTGCCTACACAGGCTACAATACATTACATTAATGTCAGTATTTTACAGGTTAGCAAATGCTAGATAAAAATGAACCACATATTTATCAATGTTTGCATTATTATTAATGTTATTAATAATTAAATAGGGCAGCACGGTGGCGCAGTGAGTAGTGCTGTCGCCTCACAGCAAGAAGATCGCTGGTTTGAGCCTTGGCTGGGTTGGTTGGCATTTCTGTGTGGAGCTAGCATGTTCTCCCCATGTTTGCATGCTTCCCTGGGTGCTCCAGTGTCCCCCACAAGTTCAAGGACATATAGGAGAATTGGGTAGGCTAAATTGTACGTAGTGTATGTGTGTGAATGAGAGTGTATGGGTGTTTTCCAGTGATGGGTTGCAGCTAAAAGGGCATCCGCTGTGTAAGAACATGTGCTGGATAGGTTGGTGGTTCATTCCACTGTGGGGACCCCTGATTAATAAAAAGACTAAGCCGAAAAGAAAATGAATAATTAAGTAAACATGAACTATCAAAAAGGTTTAATTATTACTGTGCATTATGCATACTTTTAAGGGTGTGGTAAATTATGGAAGGCCAAAATGTTTTAATCCAAAAAACATCAACATTGATAGTCAACCATGGCAGCACATCATCAAGCAAAACAGCATTTTTTTATTGTACAATGCCATATTTGCAGATGTGGTCCAAGTATGCATATGCAAACATTTGGCGTCATGAATATTCATGAAGGATATCAAATGGTATACTTGCATGTACTTAAGCAAACCAAAGGTTATCTTCCATAAAACCGCTGCTCGACATGGTCAAATTGTGTATTGACATAATCAAATTTCGTTTAAAGACTTATGACCTTAATCACCTTCCATATGAAATGGATGTTACTGAGGGTTGCAATAAAGAAGAAGAAAAAATATTAGGCTAATAAATCAATCAATTTCACTTCATAATGATACATTTTTTATTGTTGTTGTATTATTTTAAAGTAATGCTTTATGCTTTTTATGGTGTGGGGGAAATTACGGAAGGCTGACTGAGACAAAAATCTTTTAATGGTTCAGTGCGATTGTCAACTAACACAGCAGCCAATGAAATCGCTGTATTTTAAACTAAATTTGCATATATGGTCTGAGTGTATGCAAATATGTTTATTCTTGAGGGATACTAAATTAGGGGTGACTCTGCTGGGTCAGTTGGCGTTTCTGTGTGGAGTTTGCATGTTCTCACCCTTTTTGACGTGGGTTTTCTCTGGGTGCTACGGTTTCCCCCACAGTCCAAACACTGGCGCTATAGGTAAACTGAATAAACTAAATTGGCTGTAGTGTATGAGTGTGAATTAGTTGGATGTTTCCCAGTACTGGGATGCAGCTGGAAGGATCCGCTGTTTAAAACATATGCTGGATAAGTTGGCAGTTCATTCCGCTGTGGTAACCCCTGACTTTTTTACCGAATGAAAACTAATGAATGAATGAATCATAAAACGGTCTTCCATAAAAATACATCCTCACCATTAACATATTTATAGCCCCAATCAGATTTCACATTTAAAAACACAAACACAATGCTTTTTAAAACTTCAAATTCAACACTTCTCGTCCCGCTACTCTACGGTCTTATTATTTTATTCTAAAGACTTTGTGCAAAAAGTGTTATATCACATCACAGCAAGTATTTCTTTTCTAATAATAGTTCTGAGGAAGTGAAACTGTGAAAGTACAAGTTATACACCAACCCATTTCCTGAAGATGCACAAGTTTACTGATTATTACATTTGCCTTACTGAGAAACAGACAGTGCACTGTAAAACCTACTAGTTGACCTCACTTAAAAAAAACAAATCCATTTGCTTTTAAAGTGATTATTAGTTGACTTTTAATAAGTAAATAAGCCTCTGCCTTAAAGGAACACTCCACTTTTTTTAGGACTCATTTTAAGTCCCCTGAGTTAAACTGTTACCATAAATCAATGCAGGCTCAATCTGATTATGTACCCTTGTATACATTTCTAGAGAGCGCCAAATACGTCTCGGGAGTTTTTTTGCAGTTTTTATTTTTGTGAATCCACCAGAGGCTGCTGTGTATCCTCTTTGACATCTCAAATTTCTCTTGAGTGCCATTCGCGCCTGCTGTTCTCACGTGAATCCACCCGAGGCCGCTGTCAACTGACTGACTGACCGATCGACTGATCCACCCTCCTCCTTCCCTAAACCCAACCGACAGTGTTTTCAAAAAGCAATCCAGAAAAAAAAAGCCTTTGTGGCAGCCTGATTTTCAGATTTTACCACATTCTCACCCTGTTATTCACTTTATTTTATTTTCTGGCTTTTGTCATACCTGTTTACGGAACAGTTCTTCACCAGACTCGAATCCCTTCTTCATGGTCAACATCTCTCTGCATCTTAAATCCTCTGACGTCCGTGGCGAGCCACTGGACAAACTGGCAACAGTGGAAAAGCCGTCCATACAGAGGTAAGCGGTCAGCTGGTAAGCGTGAAAAGCAACGATGTCATGCTGCACCATATAGTTCATTTTAAAGACAAAATGCATCTATCCGTTCCACTGAGCCTGTGTTGATTTAAATCCATTCAGCTAATCTCTGAGTCTGACGGAAGCATTTTAGCCTAGCTTAGTGTAACGGAGGCGACAGATGCTAGAGGCCTCCGTGTTAGAGCAACCGACTCCCATGCGGAATGCTTCGCATACCAGGTTTGATTCCAGCTCGGAGTGGGTTGGGTGGCGTAGGATCGGCGGGGTTACATTGGTGCCGTGACCCGGATGGGAGTGAGGTTTAGGGGGGCGAGTGTAAAGGGGGCCAGCTAGTAAGTGCTGTGCGGGTAAAACCTCACTCCTCCGACCTCTAAAGATGCTCTAGCGACAGACACCAGAGGCCATGGGCTTTAGCCTCCTTGGTAGAGCAACCAACTCCCATGCGGAAGGTTGCTGGTTCGATACCAGCTCGGAGTGAGTTGGGTGGTGTTGGACCGTCGGGTTACATTAGCATAAATCATTGAATCGAATTAGACCGTTGGCATCTCACTCCAACAATTAAAAGTTTCGATAATTTTTCTATTTAAAGCTTGACTCCACTGTAGTTACATTATATACTAAGATCAACGAAAAAAAATAAATGCTGCAATTCTAGACTGATATGACTAGAAAGTATACTCTCATTCTGGTGTTATATTCAAGGAACTTTGCAGTGTAATATTATTGTTCCTGCTGCAGCCGTGGTACAGCATCAAAGGACCCTTGAATTTGATTAAATTGATCAAACATAGACATTTAAAATAGATTTTCTTTTCGAGGAAAATGGACTAAAAACATTGATGACATCATCATGCACTCAAAGGTGTGTCCAATCAAATATGCTCTAGAACAATGTCCTCAAACTCAATTCCTGGAGGGCCACAGCTCTGCACAGTTTAGCTTTAACCATCTCCAACTCACATCTGCTTAATAGCCGCTAGTAGTCTTGAACACCTTAGTTGGATTAGCTGTGCTTAATTGGAGTTAGAGCAAAACTGTGCAGAGCTGCGGCCCTCCAGGAATCCAGTTTGAGACCTATGCTCAAGAATAAGAATGTTTGACTGCATCTGAATTAATATATTACTGTAAAGTAGGTAAAACAAACTGAATAACAAAAAATA